CTATCTAGGCCGTGACACCAAAAGGGAGGAGGCAGAGGGACGGGACGGGACGGGACGGGGGTCGGGCAGGCGGTGGGTCCGGGGGTGCCGGTCGGTAACACCGCGGTTCCCGTGTGCGGGGCTGAGGGGAAGGGGTTCGCGCGCTCAGGAGGGTGTTCCAGGGGGACTGACCGGGAAACCTCTGGTAGCGTCTGACCGTGTCCTCTGTGTGTCGTCGTTCACCCCCGTAGTTAAAGGGAAGAGACCGACATGGTTGAAAACTCTCCAGCCCCGCTGCCGGAAAGGGCAATATATGGATTTGCTCTTTTTTTAGGATCGTGGTTTGGCTTCAGTAAGTACAGTGCGTACTGAATGCTCCCCCGAACAGTGTTGCTTTGCTTAAGAGGCACATGTAATTCCAGTAAGACCACCTGGAAAGGATCAAACTTGAATGGCACCGACTGTTGCAAGGGTGTGTTCTGAACGACTAAGTGAGCAGACCTGTCTGCTGTTGCAAAGATGCGTCACTGCCTTTTGTAGTTCCCTCATGTTTTGTCTGTTTTGAATGTCGTTACAGGATCTTTAGTAGTATTATGGAGTCAAATTACTTAAAAAATTCTCTGCGTTCTTACATTAGTAGCTCTTTTACTTGTATACCTGATCGTTATTCAGTAACCAGTGTCGATGCTAGTAGTGTAACCTTCCCCCCCCCGGGAAATAAATATACTGAATAAATATACTGAAATAAAAAAAATGATAAGTCATATTGATCAACAGTGATGGAGAATGATTAGGGTTAAACCAATATTTCTTTGTCAGTGTGACAGATGCTTTGGCATATCACAGAATACCAGGTTGGAAGACCTCAAGGATCATCTGGTCCAACCTTTCTTGTCAAAGCATGGCCTAGACTAGATGTCCCAGCACCCTGTCTAGACAAATCTTAGAAGTGTCCGGTGTTGGAGAATCCACCACTTCCTTGGGGAGATTATTCCAATGGCTGGTTGTTCTCATTGTGAAAATTTTTCCTCTTGTGTCCAGTTGGAATCTTCCCAGGAATAATGTGTGTCCATTACCCCTCATCTTTTCCATGTGACTCCTTGTAAAAAAGGAGTCTCCATCTTCTTCTTAGCCACCCTTTAAATACTGGGACAAGTGCCTTGCATGCCCCCACAGGACCAAGGCTTGCGAAGGTGAGAACACTTTTTCAACACAAGAAAAAGTGCTGCAACTATACTGTAGTCAAATAATAAACCAGCATCCTGCTGTAAGTCTTTCTCGCTCTTAGGAAGTGAGAAGAAATGAAAGTACTTGGTTTCTGTTACTACTGCAGGAAGCCACTGCAGTTCTGCAGCTTGTGTCACTGGCTACTAACCTGTTCCCCTCAAGTTTTGTTGAACTTTTCTCTGGATTTGTTGTTAGGAAACAAAATTTCTCGGTATTAGTTTTGTTGACATGAAAATGATTACCTTGCCAAGAATCAGAAAGCATTTCCAGTAACAGCATCTGACCAGTTCTGTCCAAGCACTGCAGTTCTACCAGCTTTTCTCTCAACCACTGTGTGATCATTTTCTGCTTTAATGTTTTCCACATTCAGTCATTGGACATCCTTTTACTGAGGGCTTTCTTTGTTCTGCAGTTCAACTTGCAAGAAATTCTTGTCTACATAGGAAATCAGAAAGTAAATGTTAAAGCAAGTATAAAAATGGTATCATATAACACGTACAAAACATTGTCCCTGTATTGGGCAGGTTTTGTGCCCAAGACACATATTCTACAATGTTTTGGTTGAGCTACTTTGGTTTAAATAGCATACAAAGGAAGAGCAAATCAGTATCAGTTGTACTATGGTGACCTTTTAATTCTTTCATACAGTGTTGTACCTCATCTGGGCTTATGTTCCTGAGACTTGGCTGTTCTCACTGGGACTAACATACTGGCCTCAAAAGTAAGTTCTACCAGTTAAACTTTTTAGCCTGAATTTGTGTCAGTATAGGACACCCTTAAGTATTCTCAAACAGCAAAAGTTGCTGGGTTTCTTTTTAAAATAGTGACCCTGTATTTAATCCAGTTTTTGATGATAAAGCACTCTGATCTTTTTGACGCATTTTTATTTATGTAGATAAGTAGCTATGGTGAAAAAAGCAATGGTATTTGAATGGTTTATGATAAATTTTTTCTTGGGAACTTTGCCAGTGAAAATACAGTAAACTTTAAAATGTAATTAAAAAAAATAAACATCTGTAGGAAATCTATTTGAGGATTTATACCAAACTAGCCCGTATTCGGAGGTGGTGTTTTGGCCAAGTTTGTGCTAGATACAATAACGATTGCTGTATTAAAACTGTTACCTCATTACGTGTTTGTTATTATGATATGTGAATTTTGACATCTTCTTCCTCAGATACTGGGCAGTTGCTTTGCCGGTGTATCTACTGGTTGCTATAGGAATTGGTTATATATTACTTTTTGGTATTAACATTATGAGTACCGCTCCACTTAACTCCACGCATACCGTTACAGGTAATTTTATTGGGTTTTCTGTTTTGTTTTGTTTTGTTTTACTTTTGATACTCAACTGGTAATTTCTGTAAATATATGTATGTAGCTGTATATAATATAAACCAAATTGTAAGCCTTTAAATATTTTGATGTAGAAAAGGAGTTCTTGGAAGTACTGAAGGACTAGAATGAAAGCCATAAGCCTGACTCTTCCCTCTATGCCATCATATGGCAGTAGTTTCCAACTAGTAAAGAGTACTTTGTTAGTAAAACAGACCACTTTAGAGGAACAGGGGTTAAGGATATAAAGATCTCCCAGGTTTGCATCTTGCATTATGAACCAGTGAAGAGTATCATGGGAAAAAATGTGTGAGTACCTACCCGGCAGTGGCAGAAGTGGGAAGTCAAGCAGGAGTCAATGTGCTGCAAAGGAGGATGTTGTGGTATTGAGGCCTGATTAGATATGTTAGTGATTGCCTGTGTGAAAAAACTGTACTTCAGTTTTTCTCTCAACTTTTGTGTAGCCTTTACTTCTGCAGAGGAGACATGTTCTAGGCATTCACGACATTCTCCAGAAAGCTGCACCTTCTTCCACATGAGGAATTCCACCACTATTTGCAGGTGTTAGAAAAAATGCAGACTGTAAAATTTGGCAGGAAATTTACTTACTGCTAAAGCAACTGCTGAAGTTGCATTGTTTCAACAAACTATGTACATAGTAGTAGTACATTGCACTGCACTGCTAAGGAAAAGCCATCAGTCAGTGCTGTAGTTCAAATGCATTACTCCAGTGCTTCTGTCAAGAACTGCTATTTAGTAACCCCTGTGTTCCTGGGCACTCATTGACATTCCCATGTCACCCTCTCTATTGATGTAAACCCAAGAGTCAACCCAAGTAGGGCAGGTGGGATGGGGGACCTACTATGTTTGAAAACAACTGTATTTGAAAATTTTCTTTTTCAGAGGGAGAAATTCTGTAATAGTGTCAAAATGCATCCGTAAAAATGTTTATGCTGTTACGGGAATGGGTGCTGTGTGGTGAATGGGAGCAAGCAGCCAACATAAATGGAGGGTGCACAGCATGTCTCAGCAGAAATCCTAGTACAAAGTGTTCAAGCTACAGACTGCTGTTCACTCTGGGTTTTTTGTTTGTTCTTTTTATCTTCAGGTAATGACAGTTTAATGTCATACAGCATCTTAAACTAAGTCCTAGACAGTGATTTCA